GTTTATCAGCATTGGCTTTCATTGCGGCTTTCTTCTTTCTGTCCTTTTCGCGGATGCTTTGATGTATGCCTATCGATTTATCTTTAGCTTGTGGAAGAGTTGTTTTAAGTTTTCTTCCATTTAGAGCCTCACTAGGCGATTTTCCCGTAGTTGAATGAGGGTGTAGCTCTATATTGGCGAAGAAATGTCCAAAGTTCCTGTTTCCAGTTAAGTCCAGATGCAGTACTTGTGTGTACTAGCTTGACAAGCGTACGCATGAAGCGTTCTGCTTCACCGTTGGCACGTGGCCACAATGGAGTACATTTCTTGTGCGAGAAAACCATAATTATACTCTGCGAACTGCGAAAATTCAAAACCATTAAATGGAGGTCCGTTATCACTTTTTACAATGTCCGGTATGCATTGGCGGGCAAAGACAGCGTCCAGTTTCGGAATTGTAGCTTTTGCAGAGGTAGACGATACGATTTCGACTTCTGGAAACCGGCTAAAATCGTCTATGATTACAAGTAGGTATTCTCCTGTAGGAAAAGGCCCTTTAAAATCTATGGATACTTCTTTCCACGGACTTTCTGGAAGCTTTGACATTCTCAGTGACTCTGGTGGTGAACCGGTCGATGATGACGATTGACAGGCAAGGCAATTCTTGACTTTGCGTTCTACCATACTGTCTATTCCTGGGAACCAGACTTTTTCGCGTATTAACTGCTTAGTTTTCACTATGCCTGGCCTGATGGGACTTGTGTGCTAGATCTACTGCTCGTGATCTTAGGCTTATCGGAATGACTATTCTTGTGTCACGGAGCATCACATTTTCTTCAACTGACAATTCATGTTTAATTGCTTTGAAGTCCACGATGTCAGAATCTTTCCAACAGTTTCCTTCCATAATAGCTAGTTTCAGCTTCTGCATTGCAGGGTCGCTTTGTGTTTCTTTACTCACTGCGGAGTGTGTCATTGCTTTTGGAACTGCGTTTCTGCAAACATAGTTTACATAATCATCAGCTGTTTGTGATGTTCGGTCTACTGTGTTGACTGTTACAGGGTGTCTTGACAGGTAATCGATTGGGTTACCAGGTTGCCCAGGTTACTCCGAGGGCTTCGCGTTCAATTTGCGAGTATCTCGATTCTGTGTTTGTTAGTGTACGGCTGGCATAAGCTACCACGCGGCCTTCTTGACATAACATTGCTCCGAGGCCCGTTGGGCTCGCGTCTGCGACCACAACTATTGCTAGGTTAGGATTAAAGTAAGCTGTAACATCTGCTTTTGCTAACTTATCCTTCAACTGGATAAACGCTTGTTGCTCAGTTTCACCCCATGTCCATTCGACGTTGTTGTGGGTGAGCAGTCGCAAAGGTGTTGACAATGATGCATAACCCGGAATGAAACGTGATACGTATTGCGCCATTCCTAGAAAAGATCGTATTTCTTTTGCGTTCTTTGGTGGTTCCATGTTGACAATCGCTGCAATTTTCTGGGGGTCAGGACTAACCCCGTCTCCAGAAAATATATGGCCAAAGAAGCTGACTCTTGTCTTTGAGAAAGTACATTTGTCTTTATTTAGACGAGCGTTACAATCTTTCAAGCGTTGTAGCACCGCTTTGAGGTTATCATCGTCTTCCTGTTTAGTTGTTCCATAGACTATTATGTCATCCGACATATTACGTCAACCTTGGAGACCTGAAAGCATTCGTGCAACCGCGTTTTGAAATATCTCCGACGCTGCGTTGACGCCAAACATGAGACGTTTATAGCGGAAAAGACCAGAGTGTGTAGTGAATGTAGTAACATAGCGACTGTCCGGATGAAGTTCAAATTGATGGTATCCTGCTTTGAGGTCTAGTGTGCTGAAGAATTGCGCTTTGTTAAGGTCTGTGATTATTTCTTCAATTGTAGGTATAGGGTGCTTTTCACGTTTTATAGCAAGGTTCGCTTCTCTCATATCAACGCAGATTCTGACTTCGTTTGACTTTTTGGGCACGACAACTACTGGGCTTATCCATGGAGTGGGCCCTTCTGCGCGTTCAATTATGTCGTCCGCTATTAAATGATTGATTTCTTTGTCCACATCCTTTCGTACGTGAAATGGTATTCGACGATGTTTCTGAATTTTCGGCTGGACGGTCTCATCTATGTGTAATTTAATTTGCTCACCTTTTATCTTTCCCATACCGTTAAATAGTTCACTAAACTCGTTTAATACTTTGTCGGTGTTCGGTTGTGTAACGCTGTTGGTTATTTGTAACAGACCTAAATCAACTGATGTTTGGTATGACAGAAGATTACCCGCATTACCGTTTACAATGCTGAAGGAGGCAGTGACTTGAAGTTTGTTAACAGTTATTTTAGCTTTTATTTCACCCATGACTGGAAGGGGATGCGATGCATTATATGCAAATACTTGTGCTTTTGATTTTCGCAAACATGTATTTGGAGCTGCTGCTCACTTCTTCAATTTATTGAATGTATCGCTGTCCATAATATTAACGCTTGTTTGTGAGTCAATTCCGGCTTTAATTTTCACCCCTGCAATTTCTACTTCGCAACTTGGGAGGCCCTTTTTTGTTAAACACTTGTTTGCAAATACATATTCCTCGCTGAACTCTCGCGATCGACAGGTTTTATGCTAACTGCTCTAGCCCTTCCTCTACTACGACAATATTTTGCGAAATGATTTCTTTTACCGCACGAATGACATGTCTGACCTGCTGCAGGGCACGGCTTTCCCTGTTTGTGTGGGCACACGCCCCCACATTTATGGCATGTCGTGGTGCGATTATGGGCTGCCTTAGGTTTCGATATAGGATTAGTGTATCTCGGGTTGTATGTTTTATGTTTGAAAAGTTTATTTACTTCTGCTGCTTGCTGTTTATTTCCACTGCTCTCATTCATCAACTTTAATTGCATGACTGTGTGCTCATGCGCACGAATGAGAGCTAATGCAGAGTCTAGAGTTACTACCTTGTCTGAATTTAACAGTTTCTCTCTAATTTTGTGATTTCTTATTCCTATTATTACCTGATCTTTAATTAATGACGTTTTTAAATCTTGAAATTCACAAGGCTCAGCCAAATTTGTCAAAACTGTGACGTATTGGTCGATCGTTTCGCCTGAAGCCTGATGTCTATTGAAAAAAACGTTTCGCTCATACGTCACATTTTTCCTCTGTTCACAGTAGTTTTTGAACTTTTCTAATACCTTTTCAATTTTCTTTTCGTCCCCTTCTTCTTCCCAGTCGAATGTATTATACACGACAAGCGCCTCATTTCCGATAACGGAGAGCAACGTGGCTACTCGAGTGGCGGACGGTTTGCTGCTGACCCCTGTAGCTAGTTCGTAGTTGTACCAGCGTTGTTTAAACTGCTTCCACTTCGTATGGATTTGTTCACCTGTGAGATCAAGCTGTCCTGGGACGGGTAGCATAATTCTGTTCATCCTTCATGTAATGTTTAAGCCTGCTTTGAGACCATGAAATAACAACGACGAACACTAGATAACGTATAAAGCTGATTTTAATAACAAGGTTGTATTTCGCCGTGTACACGATGGACCGTAGCCATATTGGTAGCCCCTAGCAAATAGAGAGGGCGCTGGACCGATAATCTTTATAATAGATATTACAGATGTGATAATTGGCAGATTTACAAATGATTTGTCAAAGGTAACACCAACATTACGAACTTCCAGTGATGGAGTGACTGTTGTATTATCAACGCGGGGACACTGCAGATTGGGTGAGTTGGAACGATGCCTAGACTGTATGACGAGAGTTTCAGTCTTTCTAGGATTAAAACAAAGCATATTTGCAGATAACCAAGTTTTTACTTCATCAAGACAAGTTTCAACAGATTAACTGCATCGTCCATAGAATGAGGTTTAAAGCCTAGGTACAACTACATATCATCAGCGTAAACATGATAACGACATAAATGCTTGCTAATGATATTGCTGAGGGAACAGATGTAAACGGTGAAAAGGACAGGACCCAGAGTTGATCCCTATGGGATCAACGCCACATTCCAAAAAAAAAAAAAAAAGACAGGATCAGAAATTTGGTGTCGTGATGTTAAATACAACTGGAACCAATTGAGTACAGAACCAGAGATACCAATGTCAATTAAGCGATTAAGTATGATCAGTAGTGTCGAATGCAGCATACATGTCAAAATATACCGATAAAACACATTCACCTGAATTAAGAGCATGCATTATGTCATCATGGACTTTCAGTATAGCGGTTTCTGTACTAAAAAAATTCTGTATGCTGACTAAAATTGGTCATTAAGACCATTGTCATAAAGATGCTTGACTAGTTTTTGAGACAACAACCTTCTCGAATATTTTAAAAATAAATGGAATACAGGTTATAGGTCAGAAAGTAGAAAATTTAGTGTGGTCAATCTGAGGTTTCTTCAAAATAGGCGATACCAAGCCAAGCTTCAGTGCCTCAAGAAATAAGCCAGATGACAGGGAAGAGTTAATGAGTTTCCGAAAGAGACTAATCAGTGTGTCAGTAGGGGTTCAGAGACACTAAAATATTAGTTGGAAAAGGGTCTAAGTCACAGGTTTTAGTTCCTATGGACTTGACAAAGTCAATAACATCTTCATTGTTCAATAAGTAGAAACTCTCAAACTTTGAAAGCTATAGAGTAGGAGAACAAGTAGGAAGCCCAATGCTGGGCGATGACTCAATTAGTGTGATTTTGTTACGCTTTGACCTTCTGAATAAAAAATGCATTGAGATCATTGGCCAGTTGAAGGTTGCTCACAGCAGTTGGAAAAAGATCAGCATCACAGTTACCAAGAAGCTTTCTAGCAATCTTGAATAGGCGTTTGTGATCGTGACCACAGCTATATCCTTGAACCTGAATGGAGGCGGTGCGTCCTTCAACCACTACACGATGATTTCTGGTAAGCAAAAACTTTGCATCTGTTTTAGACTTTCGCTATTTACGTTTTGCTCTTCGCTTATTCCTTTTGGCATCACGGCATATTCTATTAAACCATTTAGATAATGTACGATCTGACACACATACGGTTTTCAATGGAGCGAGTTCATCCTTGAGTAAGGTAAGTGAGGAATTATACTCATCAATAGTAGGAGTTGATTTGCATTGAGTCATCTGGACTTGCGTCGAGAAAGTAGTGATCCGACAACGGATATGCATCAACGGATGTACTTGTGATAAAATCAGGATAATTAGTAATAATCAAATCAAGAGCGTGATTATATTGGAACCCTTGTTATAATACAACTGTCATGCTGCCTTCAGGAGTCCTAATGACTAGAGCTCGTAATGTATGTTAGGTACTATATACATCATGGCGTAATGCAAGAAAACTGTGTTCTCATGCTACTGATTGTTGAACAAATGTTACAGCTACTAAATTTGTGATTGCTAAGATTAAACAACAGAATTAAACAATCATTCGGTGCATAAAGCTTCGACGTGGTCAGTACAAGATTGGTCCAAGTTTATCAATACAGCACAATGCTGCATATTAAAGTCAACCATAAACGGAAATTTGGTTGAGAACTAGAAACATAACGACAGGATGCGGATATGTTTGGATCAAAAAGAATTTAACCAAGTCATTAAAAGAACATACCGTCATACACCAACCATAGGAGACATAACCCATACATTGGGTGGAACAAAGATAT